TAATTATTGTATGTCTATTATTTAGTTGAATGTGTCTCATTCTCTTTGAAGCAGGATTAAGACATTCCAATTGACTTTTAAGTGACTGTCAAAGGAATTGATACTCGTTAGGTGTTAATCTTATATCAATAACTTTGTTTACATAATTATTTAGCAATGTCTTTTATATCCATTCTATCAAAGAAACACACCTGTCCATCAATTAATTCAGCCAGTGCCATGATGCAATTATTGTTTACTCTCAATATTACAAAAAGCTATGTCCATTATACTTTCTTCAGTTTGGAGGCCCGATGCTCTACCGGCCACATCCAACTCGGTTAAGACTTGTAAACTATTGTTAAAATTCATGTTCATTGTTATTTACCATCGTCCATAATAAATTCGGAAACCTGATTTTACCAGATCTTGGATTGTGTATTGGAAGACCATAGGGAATACGACACCTTTCTCGTTTACGTTGTATTACGGCCCACAGCGCCGCTACTTTTAATTATTACCCGCCAGCATTCCTTCTTCCCCGTTTACGCAAAACAACGAATACAGTCCAGGAATTAGTTTTATACCTTATAACCAAAATATAACTGGTTATACATATCACGGTAGGCGTTGGCAAGATAAAGAACCCTCACTGATCAATGGCCCTAAGTGCCGAGTAAAGGCCTTCACTGGTAAATGGTGAAGTCTCTATATGAGTGAAAAATTCTCGAACCGGACGTAAAACAACATGCAATCAATCAAGTATTAGAAAACAGAGTGTGTTGTCTTTCTTTTCTTCTGAGTGTTGTTTACTGAGAGATTCTCCTTTTCCTCTGCTTCTCTATTAAATTACGCTTACTGTCGGCTGTTTTTTTTTTTTTTTATTTCTTTTGGAAATCTTTCATTAAAGTATTTTCCTCTATTATATTCTGATAACTTTACCATACTTGTATACTGCAACACAAAAGATTGAGAGAAAAAAAGACGAATCTGATGTTATGTCGTAGTGTAGCCATTTGGACCTTTTTGTCACACCATGATCTATGGAATGATTCTTTCTGCTTTCGTCTCCTAGTGCTTGAAAAGGGAAATTTGAAATTGCTAAGTTGGAAATACCCAGGAAGAGCCTTTCACTTCAATTCTCTGCCATTTATCAGACTGCTTAGAACTTCTGAGTTGCCCTTCGCCCGTTTCCGATTTTGGCTGTTTAAGGGGCATTACAATGAATATCTTGACGCTCATTTAACCCTTTCTTTTCCTTCGTAATTAATTCTTTGTGTGGAAGTTTTTGCTAGTGAATTTTAAGGCCTATCTTCTAAATAAAGTCTCCTTGTGCCCATGGTCAGAAACCGGGAACAGAGAACGAAATAGTTATAGCAACTTTTGGATATATGTGTCCACAAATATTTACATACATTTCAGTCAAACAGCTATAGGACTTCTTAATTTCTCTTTATTTGGATTTTGTTGTATTACAAGAAACCGTGCATTCGTCTTAAAGCGATGTCTTTAACAAGATTGAAGAAATGACTTTTAGATATTATGCTTAATATTTCGAATAAAATCTTTTATACATAATGTACTGTTTACAAGGGATATCCAACATTATAAGCAAATTCCGTCACTTTCAACGGGTTTGACCTTGCGGAGCATCATTTGGGTACAAGGTCAACACTGACTGTGTTTGATAACCGATTCTTGGAACATTGGTAAACATACAGCGTCTTTTCTTTATTAACCTCATAGGAAATTTAAGTGCCTTTCTAGGATGCGGCAGCATGATGTATTTTCTAGGGGGAAAACTATAAGCTGGAAATGCCACCACTTGAAAATCGTAAACTAAGTTGCAGTTGCAATGTTGAAATAACACAAGAATCTGAAAATGGCGTGCACGCTTGTAACCTTGTCATAACCTTGAAAAAAAATCTAACAGTAATATTGCTACATAATACAGTAAAAACGTTAATACCCATTCAGGTGTAGACAATTTTATTCAGTTTAAACTTTAAATTTAGGTTTATATTGCGATGCATATATTACAGAGTCTTTCCCCGAAATAAATAGATTGGTTAAACTCGACGCGTATTGTAGCAGGTCTAAGTTGAAGAGATATGATATCATAAGGCAGAGTTATTGGGGTAAACCAAAGAAGGACCCTGGAGTTGGAGGGCTGTTTGAATTAAAATAACAGTCGAGGTTGTATTTGATCAGTTGTGTCACCTATGGGATATAAAACAAATCTTTACTTACAAAAGGTTGGCAAATTCTATGAGCAATTCATAACTTTATCACCAACCACTCTAAGAAAACAAAACAAGCAAACAAAAAAGTAAAGAATCCAGAGATATATACTGAAATCATTATGTCTCTCTGTTTATTTGTCACAATATTGACTGGGTGATACATATACATGTATCTGTGAAATACTGCAAGTGCAAACAAAGGTTGTTAAAATTCAAGGGGTTAATCAAAACCATCACACAAGATCATTTATACAAAATAGTAATCCTTGTGCAGTAAAGTATAAATTACATATGGAGTCAGAGAAAACCAAAATGAACAGGTGTCTCGGCCTCAGTTTTGAAGCAGAATAAAATGACATGTGTTTTACATAAATTGTCGACAATGATAGAATATATTTCATTTATACATAGTTTTATTAGTGTTATGTTTATCATTATTATTGAAAACGTTGACATTGTCGTGATGTTATGACGTCATAAAATTGTTATTGTTTATTGACCATGGCTATATCAAGAGAGCTGAAGCAATTTCCCCAAATCCCCTGATTTAAGCCAATTGGACTAATTCCCTAAGGATATTTTTTAAAAAATAAAGTGTTTACACCAAAACCATCTATCCTTGGGAATCTCAAGTTGGCAATACACAGGGAAATTTGGGAAGTTACTCCAGAAGGACGAAATGTGATCAGAAACTTTGATCTCATGCTTGATCAAAAGGGTCGTCAATAGAATATGCTGTGTAATTCTATGGATATAATTGTAGTTTGAACAAGATGTATTTGTGAAACACTGATGCCCCGTATGGCAGCTCACGGCGAGATTAAGGTTTCTCAAATGCAAGTCAAACTCCAAGGTCAAGGTAAAGATGTTAAAAATGTTGGTACCCAAAGAAAGGTTTTGTCACAACGAATATACCTGTGAAATATGAAAGCCTTTGCGGCAACCATTCAGAAATTATGGTTGAAGTTTAAAGTTTTGAAAAGTAAGTCACACTCCAAGGTCAAGGTCAAAACAAGGGAAGGTCTTGTCTGAAGAAATACACAAGCGAAATATGAAATCCCTAGCTTCAACCATTAAAAACTAACGGCCAAGGTTAGAGTTTTTTGAAAGTCCTAGTAACTACCCTTAAAAGGATATGCCCAAGATTGAAGTTTGGTAAAATTTTGCAAAAGTGGGTCAAACTCCAAGGTCAACAGGCCAAATATGTTACCAAAGATACCCAAAGAAAGGTCTTGTCACAAGGAATACACATGTGAAATATGAAAAGCCTAGCTTCAACAGATAAGAAGTCATGGACAAGGTTAAAGTTTTTGTGGACAAACAGACGTACTAAGCAAAAAATTAAATGCCCCCGAACCTTCGAATACAGGGGATAAAAATATACAAACTTTATGCGCCATATGCCATATAAAATGCTAAAACTTGGATTAAAACTTAAAATATTTCATTAAATTTTGAGATGTCATTTTGGAGTTTTATTATCCTTCAAAATGGTCTCAGACATTTTGGATCACCCTGTGCAAATACTAAAAAGTGACATAAGTGAATGTTTACAATGCTTTTGGACTATTGTTAGTATATATATATATATATATATATATATATATATATATATATATATATATATATATATATATATATATATATGTATGTATGTATGTCCAACTTTGACCGACCGGGAAACTAAAGTAAACCACTTACATCAAAGCCGATACTAGTATATCACAACTTTTGCAGATGAAACCTCACTCAATTACGAATAATATGTGCTCGTAGTTTTCCTATATTTTGAGAAGAAGTAGATATTTTGAAAAAAAACTTTTCCTAAGGCTATGAAAAGGTTAGGAAAATTAAGTCAGTGGTGTTATTTGATTAATCTTACATGTATTTTAGGTTTACTTATTTGTGAAGGTGAAGGGAAAAAAATCATTGTAGATAATCCTGAAAGAAGATGAACAAGTTTTGCCATTTACTACTCAGTAATTTAAAGGTTAAATGCATGGTCAAGGTCAACAGGGGACATAAGCCCCATTTTGGGCTTTGCGCATCTTGTGTCAATTAAGTTAGATTGTGATTATTAGTAACTTCTTTTCATTTACTAATTTAAAGGTCAAATGTAAGGTCAAGTTCAATTGGGGACAAAGAAATACTTGATTTATCCCTGTGTGAAGATAGATTTTGAATATAAGTATGGATAACGCTCAACAAGTGTAATAATTCTCACTAACTTTAAGATCAATTTGGTATTCGAAAAGAAAAATTAGCACCGTTAAATTATTACTTATGCGTTGTCGTAAGAAGACAATTGCAATATTCTCCCATGAATATATCACCAACAGAGCTATTTAACTTGCTGGTGCAGACCATACTGGCATCATCAATATTCAACCTTACACCGGATTTGGAGCTACAGCTAGTGTGCCCCAAAAATGTGAATATTCAAATGGTAACGTCTACGTTATGGGAATTCATAGACAACATGAATTTTATTCAAAATAAAAAGATAAAGAATGAAATGAAATGAAATAAAAATGAAAGTAATGGAGGCAAATTTCAAAATTGTAAAACATTTTGGTTGTTTCAGTAAATAAATGTATCAAAGTAAATAAACTGTTTAACAGCATTCCGGTTGGTAGAGGACGCGTATATGTCGGGTTCTAAAGCAAAGTCAGCGATACCATGTTCCGGTAAGATAACCTCACGTATGTATGATAATTGTATTTTCGTCGAGCGTAGTAGATCATCGAGGAGAATAGTGAAATTAACTTCTTGTTTTTGTTTATTTGTTTGACAGCTTCCTCTTTGTGTAATTTATGCTTACAGCGGTTGTTATGTTGTAAATACGTTGTTTATTAAACCAAAGGCGGATCTATTTTCTTATCAAGGCTATGAATTTAGTGCTAATGGAATTTAAAGTTCTCTCAGTCCTCCGATATCTACATTACGATTAAAATAGTTACACGTGTGGCTGTAATAACATAGGGGTGTTCTATTTCACAAGACCCTCATTGAAGATCCCTTGGACCCTACAACAATTGATCTGCATTCTTCTTTATCTGATTTTACCTCAAACAAATTTAAAATGCATTTGCTTTGTTGCAGTTGATCTTAAAACTTGCGGAATAAGGATAAATTAATGCAATTAGTTCCTGCAGAAGGCATGATCTTAATAGGCTGTAGTGTCATACTGTTTTTCACAAGTCTAACTCTGGGATCAAAATATGATGAAGGAAAGAACAGAGGTACTACCAAAGAATACTGTGATTCTGAAAACTGCGGCAACCTGAAGAGAAAACTAATTTACAATGAAGAATCAATAAGTTTGTCTATCAACGAGAATGATGAGAAGTTTATAGAACAATTCTTTCCAAGTACTTTAAAATCTCTCCCATCCACGGATTGTCGTAAATCTCGGGAAGACTTCTGTTTGACATGGGGAGATTCACTAAAAGCTACCATGAAGAAGAAATCCCTAAAAGGGCAGAAATGTTTTGAGTTGAACTTCAGTTCCAAACCGTCATCAGACATACTTCCTACATCCTGTATCCCGCTAGAAGGAGCAGCTTGGTACGGGGGAGCAGAATTACACCGACAGAGATGGCCGCTCAATGACGTCAGCTTACCCATGCAGCCATTCATTTCAAACGATATCGTTCCAGAAAAGTCTGCATTTGGTAATGTCTTGGAGCCATACTGGATAAACTCTAAGGGGGTTGGTCTATACGTAGATGACGTCACTCCTCTGCATGTAGCAATTAATGAAAAGAAATCTCGTTTATTGTGCCTACAAGCGAAATTCCAGGAGCCACACTTTCGAAGAGCTACATCTCAGTACCTAATGCTTAATTATACTATATGCAAGCAAAGAAATGTGAGAGAAATAAGAAACTTTATTCATGATTTGATATTCGACGTTCCAAACAAAATGCCAGACAAAAGAATGATAAAAAGTCCCATCTGGTCGACCTGGGCCAGATATAAGACTCTTATAAATCAAACAAAGGTTTTACAATTTGCTGAAGAAATCAGACATTATGGATTTTCTAACAGTCAAATTGAAATTGACGACAAGTTTACAACAAAGTACGGGGATTTTGACTTTGATCCCGATAAATTTCCAGACCCTTTAGGAATGATTCAGCAGTTAAATGCAGATGGATTTCGGACAACAGTTTGGATGACACCTTTTGCAAATCTAGACTCTGTTGCCTTCTCGGAGGGATTGGATAAAGGATATTGGTTGATGGATACATCTGGGAAGGTTCCAGCATTGGTTAAATGGTGGCAAGGAATCGGTGGCATTATTGACGTCACTAATGAAGAGGCTGTAGAGTGGTTTGTTCGACGTCTGCGCGAGATGCAGACTGAATATCAGATCGATTCTTTCAAGTTTGATGCCGGTGAAATGACTTATTTGCCATCTTCGTACTCAACTCGGTACAACCTGGGAAATCCAGGATTTTTCACCACTCTATATGTAGACATGGTTTCTAGATTCGGCGATATGATTGAAATAAGATGTGGGTACAAATCGCAGAGACACCCTGTGTTTGTACGCATGGGCGATAAAGAATCTACATGGGACTATGAAAATGGTTTTAAAACCCTTGTACCCACAGTCCTCACCATGGGTATTCTTGGATATCCATACATACTTCCGGATATGATAGGCGGGAATGGTTATGGAGAAAATCTCGGTATCGACGTAGTTTTGCCGGAGAAGGAACTCTACATCCGATGGCTCCAACTTACGGCGTATTTGCCATCAATGCAGTTCTCATTTGTACCTTGGGATTTTGACGACGAAGTCGTTGAGATTGCAAAAGAAATGGTTAAAATTCATGAGGAAGTAGTAACTCCTATTTTATTAAAAGCTTCCAATGAAGCTCAAAAGTCAGGTTCGTTTAAATTGAATTGAATTGAATAATTATAAGTGCATTCGTTATCTAATTATACGCGTAAACTAATACACGATTACTTCCATATATGAAACTAAATTTTAAAATGAATTCATGCTCCTGTCATAATGGCATATATGATATGATCAGAGTTATTTTCAGGAGCACCTTTGATACGGCCATTATGGTGGATCGAACCGGAAGTCGACGAGGCGCTGAATTGTGATGATGAATTCCTGGTTGGAGACTCGTTACTTGTTTCTCCGATAACAGACAGGGGTTCTAGGTCAAGGGACATTTACATTCCACGGGGAGAATGGCGTGATAATCTTCACGGAAATACGATCACTGGACCAGTTACACTCAGGAACTATGAAGTCACTCTACGACAAGTAGCGACTTTTGAACTGTTAGATGATGTAAAATTTTAAAATTAGATTGATATTTACAATATTGGTGTTGAATTTTGATAAATTTTACTATTTAACATGGGCTTATTTTTTTAAAGACAAGTTGTCGCGATCCGTTAGTAATACTATAATGATGAACTTACAAGAAATACCATAGGTATATACACATTACTTTGAGAATTTCTAATTCCTCAACTCCTGATTTTTAGAACCTGAGGATCGGACTACATGTATCTTAATTCAATTTATCTGAACGATTTCAGAATTCTATTTTTTTAAGGGAAAAATAATCATCTGTTTTGTGAAATTACGTTACAGTGATTTACGTTACATTTGATTAGTGTTACAGTGTATGTTACATCTAGGGCCGATTTTTTTCTGTTAACGATTAATTTTAATAATATCTTTCATCAAAATATTTTTTTTCATCAAAAGTTGATAAACAGAAAGATATCAATTTTTTTGACTTCATAATTAGGTATGAAATGTAGTGGGCATTTTAAATGGAAATTGGCACAACTTAACTGAACTTGGGCGTTTAAAAAAAGCTCTCCAATTTGAATTATTCAAAATGAACTGGATGTTTTCAGTGGAGTTTGGCAAAATAAATAGATTTTTAATTTCATAAATTCACTTTTCTTGATTAAATTTTGCATTGATTGAAACACATGAATCAAGATCATTCACAGATACTTGGGGACGAAAACCGAATCAATTCATGTGTTTCTTGCTCTCATCCTTTGGTTTTTAATGGGTTGAACATCAACATTTTCTGCCTTAAACGATTTCGCTCTCTAATATCATCTAGTCCTTTTCTGTTATTAGATCACTTCCGTTATGGCTCTCAGAGAGTGGATGGAGTAAAATCCTTTAAAACATGCGGTTTTGCACAATCGAGTACTAAGTAACTGTTATTTGAAAGTTCTTAAATAATATAAGAATACTAGAGTAATCTACCAATTTCACAGTAAAAATAAATTCAACCTCGATGTAAAGTGAATAAATTGTTTCGACTTTAGTAGAACTAACTTTTATGAATGCAAAGTATCCACAATGCGACATTTTTTAACATTCTTTATTTAATACAATCTGTTAAAATATTATACAAATTTTAACATTTTTACAGACAATGGTGAGAGAGAGAAAGAGGGAGGGAGGGAGTTGGCATGTAACACATATTTCATATACATGAATCTAATAACACATTTCAATTAAAAAAAATCATGAGTAATTAAATAATCAAATGCAAAAATTTCCTGTAATAGACGTGCCTTGTAGAATATCCATATCCACAATTTTGCTCTGTTCTCTTTTTAAAGATTCCTACTATTGAAAAATTAGTAAATTCAACTAACCTACCCTAAAAGAAAGAACCAGGTGAAGTCATTGAATTAGAACAAGAAACATGTACGCTGTTTAAAATTAGATGTCAAATATGTTAACAATGGGAGTGTTCATCCTCACAATGTCAGGGGTACTGAATCCACTCGTGGCCGTTGGACTCCTGACATACTTCATTCGATATTCTACGGGTTGACTGCAGTAAAGTCTTTCGAGGAAATTACAAATCTTGAGTTTTTCTTATCTCTCGACCAAACACATTAAATCTTTCGGTGACAAACAACCTGAAACACGTGCATTGAGGTGTCAACTGCATACTTTCTGTATCAACTTATGAAAGCCCTAATCTGATCGTTACTTCTAAATGAGAGAAGCAAGCCCGTAAAATATCAAATGAAATTTGTCAGGGGTCCAACGGCCACGAGTGGACTCAGGGCCACTGACATTGTGAGGATGGGGAGTGTTCGACATCGGGGAAATGGTTTGTTATAAGCCCCAAATGATCGTTATCATGTCAAATATTAGATGGCTCTTCGGCGCCAACACACTTCGGAAGATTCAATATCTGACATAATGAACAGTTTTCGGTTTATAACCATTACTTATAGATGACCTCAATACTGCAGGTATACTTGCTAAAATCACGTGACTGCCACATCACTTACAAGTCTGTAGATAATCTGACTTGATCGTCCTCAACGTGTTGTTTTAAACCGCTTTACATTTGTAAGATAATGGCAAAGTACTAAAAAGACTTAAGTGTTCATCCTGATAAAGATTAGAAAATCAGTATTCTTTCTCAGAAAGAATCGATCGCCAGTATTTCCATTGTGCACCTTAACATTGTGCATTGTATGTGCTGTATTCTGTTCTAAGCTGTAAGGGGAGAGGAGGAAGGATGATCATGATTTTCAAGCACCTGCTCAAGTTCAACCGAAACAACTTGAGTGCCTTGCTGGATGGCTATTACCTAGTCCATATGCGTTTTTTAATTGGTAAGATGTGTACATGTACATAGACAGCAAATGCCATCAGAAGTTGTTTTGTATTAGTACCGCTTACTCAAAGTTTTATTTACCAATAAAAAAAAATCTATCATGGTAATTGGACCGCTGAGTGAGGCATTGGACCTGTTGATGAGATATACATGTAGGACCACTGTGACGTTTTTATGTCACGCTATTGGCAGGATCAGCTACATCTTATCAATCATCACAAACATGGAAGACAGCGCAAGATATGTCAAAATAAAAAGTAAAAGTGTGTGGCAAAACGTTCCCCCCCCCTTTTTTTCTTCTTCCTCTGTCTGGCCTCCTTCAGCAAGCTGAAGATTTTGCCAGTGTATACCAGCGTTTTTCTCCGAATTATTTTTTGATTTGTCTCTTGTTTGCTACACATAGTAATGAACTTAAACATTGTTTTTAGCAATAATAACAAAAAAAGTGCAGTTATTGGGTCTATATAACACCACATGTATATCACGTCCGTGTACATTACGTCCAATGGACCCAAACTCCGTCACCAGGGCCCTCTACATTATGCCAATGTATTATATATATATTTTTTTCTCAGTTTATTTTTTAAATCCTATTTCTTAAATTTTTAAACATATTTTTTTAAAGGATTTAAAATGGTATCAAATTGCATTTTAAGAAAAGTATAAACACTAGGAAAAAAATTAACATATCGTATTTTATTTTTAATGTCGCGCTAACGTTGTCTCCAACGTGTAGTTCATTAAGGCAAATGTAGACAAAAAATAAAATATTTCTAGCCGTATTCAACATGGTATGTCAAGTAAAAACTATTGACATAGACCTTCATAAAATAACAAGATGTGTTTGTGAAACACTGATGCCCCCGTATGGCAAGTCATAACAAAGGTTAAACTTTCTCAAATGCAAATCAAATATGTTGGTACCCAAAGTAAGGTCTTGTCTCGAGGTTTATACCTGTGAAATATGAAAACCCTAGCAGCAACCATTGAATAGATATGGAAAAGGTTAGAGTTTTTCAAAAGTGAGTCAAACATTAAGGTCAAGTTCAAATGGTCAAAATTAATGGTGCCCAAGGAAAGGCCTTCTCACAAGAAATACACATGTGAAGTATGAAAGCCTTAGCACCAACTGTTCAAAAGTAACAGCCAAGGTTAAAGTCTTTCAAAAGTAGGTCAAATTCCAAGGTCAAAGGGTCAAAGTTGTTGGTATCCAAAGTAAGGACTTGTCACAAGGGTTACATATGTGAAGTATAAAAGCCCTAGCACTTACCGTTCAAAAGTTATGGCCAAGGTTAAAGTTTTGCAAAAGTAGGTCAAACTCTAAGGTCAAAATCAAAGGGTCAAAGTTGTTGGTATCCAAAGAAAGGTCTTCTTACAAGGATTACATATGTGAAGAATGAAAGCTCTAGCACCAACTATTCAAAAGCTATGGCCAAGGTTAAAGTCTGAAAAAATTTAGCAAAAGTGGGTCAAACTCCAAGGTCAAGGTCAAAAGGTCAAATTTTATGGTATCCAAAGAAAGGTCTTGTCACAGGGAATACACATGTGAAATATGAAAGTCATAGCTCCAACCAATCAAAAGTTATGGGCAAGGTTAAAGTTTTTGCAGACAGACAGACAGACAGCTGGACAGACAGACGGACGGACAGGGAAAAACTATATGCTTCCGAATCTTCGATTACGGGAGCATAAAAATGATATGAAAGTGAAATGAGCATGTTGACGCAAATGTCGGAGATATCGATGGAATAGTGCATGAAGGAAAAGGTGCTTACTGAACATAAAATCATAAAATATGATTGATACAATAGATTAAAGTGTACATGTACATGTAATTTGTTTTTGGCGCATTCTTGAACTTGACTGTTATAATTTCTCGGTATTTGATTGTAGATTTGCAGCATGCAAAAAATGACGTCGCAATAAAAATGTCGCATTTGTTTCCCGAAGTGAAGGGTAATGACTGAGTTAGGGGTATGAATTTAGTTTTTCTAAGTCACTTGAGATTTTTAAATCTAAAGTGATTCCTTCAATCCTAGGGTGCAGATGGAATAACACAGTAGCATCGACTATGTTCTATGCATTTTGTCGATCCCTCATACCAAATTGTTTGCCTTCGGCCTAACGGCCTCAGGTAAACAGTTGAGTTCTTAGGTCCGACAAAACGCGTGTTGCACTCGTATGTATAATACTGTACATTGTGCGATCATGTTAAACTCAGCTGTATGTACTTTCAGTACTTTCATTAGACTTTATAAAGAGCGACAACTCTTATTCGAAGACACGCTTCGCGGAAAATAGCCTCTAACCAATGGTATTTGTCGTGACAATCCATTGTCGGCCGCCATTTTATTTCTATATGTGCATGAAACGTTGGATAACCTTTTGCGAAGGAATACTATTTTATCAGACCTGAGTGTTGCTGTCTTTAATTTAACTGTTATTTGTGGGCATCAGAGACTCTGCGCACCTCCATCGTTTTCGTTTGGTGAAGGACGCCACCCATTACAAGGTCATGGCCGAAACGACGCGATTCTTCTCAAAATGCAAGTCCATGTTGCAAGATAGTCATAAGACTTTCTCTTTCCTGAATTCAGTCGTTTGTAACATCAAAAATTTCCAGTGAGTGAACTTTATGGTATATTATTAAATAGAAACACTTTGAGGCGAAATGACAATATGTTTACATTTTTTTTCTCGCTAGAAAGTGAGAAACAAAGCCACCTATAGACAAATGCTATTAGGCCAGACCGGATGGTCAGTTACCCCTGACCAAACCCTGGTTAAAGAATATGTGTTGAAAGATCTCAGCTTTCGAAAAATCACTTGTCTGAATATGTACTAGGATGCATAGTGTCATAATTATTAAGTAGCCTACAGAGAAACGTAGTCAGAACCTGCCTGCACCTTTAAGAAGCTGCTGTAATTACATGTTGAAAATAGAAACTTGTAAATTGATGAGTTATTTTTAAAATTCAATTTTAATTTTATTAGAGTGTTTTTGAATCATTTCAGGAATGAATTCTCTATCTGATGTGAGTATTTCTCCAGCCCTGCTGCAAGCAATATCGCAGACCCTTACTTCCAAAGAAACTGGAAATCAGTCTTCAAAACAAAACCACTCATCAAACATGCACCCACGAATAAAGATTAAGCAGGAGATTCTTGAAGCTAGGAATTCGTCATTGTCTGAAGAAAGTAAAACTGACATTGGGGAGGATGAAGCAAGTGCTCGTATTGTGAACATTTTACAGGGTATGCAGAAAGCATCAGAAACAGATGAAGAAACAGGTCATTCTTCTCAATATATCAGTCCTGGGGATATTAAAAATATGTTGAAATGGAAAATACAACACAATGTTCCAAAACCAGATGGACAAAGTGAGGACAACTTAGTTGGAAACCTTGGTAGTAGTGATCAAGAGGCCATGGTCAATGTTTTAACAACTCTTGCCATGCAACAAGCAAAAACTTTATCCATGGCATCTAAAGGTTCAAGTAGTGCTGAGATAAGATTACCAGAAAATGTAACTATATCTCAAACCCAAGAAGAGGTTGTCGCTGACCAGAGGACTGTAATGATAGAATCAGCAGGTCAGACTTACTACGTGAGGACCAACACAGAAAACTTAATCTCTGAGACTGTCTCATCCAACGCTGGTGAGACTCATTTACAGTTTTCTACAGCAATGTCGTCTGAGGGAGACATATCTGGCCAAGGAAGCATGCATCAGGATGTTGATGTGTCTTGTATTCCAGAAACGGCCATGTCTCAGAGTGAGGACAACAGTATGTCTAATGATGGCTATCAACCATGTCCTGTATGTGGAGATGCTGTTTCAGGTCGGTATAACAATATATGTAGAGCTATATCCATGTTCACTCCAGTAAGTGCTGCTGGCTATTTATGTACCAACCACTGTTATTTTGCTTCTGCAGTGTACCCCCTCTATTGTCTTATAAAATTGGTAGATAGGTCTGTCATGGGTCTCTGAAATGACTAAAAAGTGTGGCCTGATGGTATCAGTTGGTTCACAGCAAGGTTAGCTATGCCACATACTCAGCAAAGTAGATCTAACCACTGGTTGCAAGACGTAAAGACTTGATCAAAGTCACTATGTTCATTTTTTAAAAGTGAATTTAGTATAATTCATGGAATAAATTTTATTAAAGGTTGAAATAGATATAAATTAATGACCCCCCCCCCCCCCCCCCAACTGTATCTAAAACTGAAGTGACCTGACCTGAAAAATTTTGGAACCATGATGGCCCAATTGGTAAATTTATCACATTGCTAAATTTCATACTTGTGACTGAAATAATGGTGTTTTCTCTGACGTTTTGGGTTCTTTTAATGATGTTGCAAGGGCTACAACTCTGTAAAGGAATTCTGTATTTGTGTTAACAGTGTTTTAAATTGTGAATGAGAGTACATTTTTTGTTTTCTTTTTTGCAGGTTATCATTATGGGATTTTTACTTGTGAAAGCTGTAAAGGTTTCTTTAAAAGAACTGTTCAGAACAATAAATCATTTACTTGTCATCGAAATGGGGATTGTGAGATAAGTCGAGGAAATCGAAAGAAATGTCCCTGCTGTCGATTTGCCAAATGTGTTCAAATGGGCATGAAAACACAAGGTAATACATGCACTGTGATGTCATTTCATTGTGTAAATATATCAGGATTCAAGGTATGTGATGGTATATTGATACACCAATTCCAATATCTTATATAAATTTTATTAAAAATTATCATCTCAAAGACTGTAAAGCTGCCTCTCCTTTATTTCAAATATTAATCATGAGTCAGAAGTTAAACAATCGGTTTTAATAGCACTACATCAGTTATCGCATGTGTAGTAATGTTTCGATGAAAATCCTATTAGTTTCACCGTTATCATTTCTTCCTCCAGCTGTTCGACTTGATCGGACTCGAGGAGGAAGGAGTAGCTATGACGGTTGCTCACCCAGGAACCGCCCCAAAATACCAGTCCCTGTCAAGAAACCAAAAGTAAAGAGACCACAATCATCAAGAAGTGTGTCACTGGAAGACATTAATGTGACCTTACCTACTGGAGAAGATGTCTCAGGAAGTCAACTGATGGCCATTTTAAATAAATCAGGAAAAGCCCTTCTACAAGGAATGGTGAAACCCATGATTCCTCAAATTTTATCAGACATTGTAGGCATGGAGTCTCTGTTGTGTGATGATGAAACGGACACTGATTTTCCCATGGAGAAAATTTCAGACACTGATCCCAATGTAATAATGTCTATGTTACAGTTGGCAGAATTAAAACTTTACAAGCTGGTTCGCTGGGCTCGAAATTTACCACAATTTAGTTCTATTGCAGTAAGTGATTAATTTCCAAAGCTGCAAGAATATAATCAAATACTAGTAATTGCAATATCTTGAACGTGATGGAACTGTTAAAAAACTTAAAGACGTCGAAAAATTCAAGTTAAAGTTTACATTCATATTTATCATAAAGTCAGTGTGCTGACTCACTTCAACATAAATCAGATATTTCATGTTAAGATTAAAAGATATCTAAATTCAAATGTATATTAGTATATATTTTTGTAAGATTTTTTTCAATTTCTATGGACCATCTATGGTTTATTTTTTAATTTGATAAGTTGTAGACTTTATATAAATATGCAACTATCTAAGTGAAATGATATCTAATATGTCAACAAAAATAAAAGAAATATTTTTATCATTTATGGTGGTACATTAATTATGATAGCTGGCCCTCCAAAAAGTTTTCTTCATCTTTATTGTAGACAGATGACCAAATATTACTGCTGCAGAACTCATGGTGTGAAATTCTGACCTTGAATTGTTGCTTCAAGTCAATGAGTACACCCTCAGAAATTCAACTTCCATTTGGAAAGAGCATTGACCTTGAGAAGGCCATTAGCATAGGACATGGAGTGGATGATATTATCAGTAGAATGTTATTTATTGCTGAACATCTCAACAGACTTCAAGTTGACCAACATGAATTTGTTGCTCTTAAAGTTTTAATTTTGATTTCTCCAGGTAATTATTCTCTCTCTCTCTCTCTCTAAATATATATATATATATATATATATATATATATATATATATATATATATATATATATATATTGCAGTGATGACCTCTCCCTTTTTTAGCAGAGATCCATTATTTTTAATTGATGATACTGATGTTTCTAAATGCATTTCCAATATTTTGCTTAATTTTCCGGTTTTACAAAATTTTTGCTTTTTCATCTGAAAGTTTATGATTCCCAGTTTGTACTGGATGAAAAAAAAAAATTATACAACCAATCATTGTAGATCTTCAATGAGCTCTCTACTAAAACTCATTAACATGAGTTCACTACAAAGCCTAGTATTAAAGCTGATTTTAGGCCATGGAATTGCAAGTTTCCTTTAGTGGATTGGAGCTTTGCTCCCACCCCCCTCCAATTCCCCCAGCAGGGTACTTGCCCCTGGACAAAACAAGGGAGCCTCAAGGCAACCCTTTCAAACATAAGCCTATTTTAGATATTTTCTTTATTACAGATTTAAAATCATCACCCATATTATGTAAACTAGTTGACATTATACATTTATTGACTGGGTTCTAGGGCAACATGTGTTTTGTCAGACCCAAGAACCAAACTGTTTGCCTGAGGCCAATAGGCTGAAGGCAAACAGTTTGGTTCGAGGGGTCGACAAAACGCATTTGCCTGAGAACACAGTCAATAAATGTTTTGTTATACCTTTTACTTTTTATTTTGACATAACATGATGTAAATTTTGTTTACCCGCACTGTGGTTTAATCTTGGTCAATTCCGTAAAGTTCTGTCGAACTCCAACGAATGCAAATAAGATACAGCTGACCCCGCCGACACTGTGACGTAAGCGGTCAAACATCTCATCGACAGGTCCAATATCTCGCTCTGCGTTCAAACATTTATTTTTTTTTATGACCGCTCAGTAAAACATTGGAAATGTTAGACTTTTTTTTAGTATAGAATTATATAGGAAACAATTTTTAAAGGTATAACAATTGGATTTAATGCCCTTTGTACAATTAATTTAAGAAAATCCCTTTATAATGTAGATCATATGTATGAATGGGAAGCTTAAATATTTATTCATTCATTTAACATTTGTTTAAAGAATTTATGGTAATTTGTTTTCAGACATCAAGGGAATGAAAGACCCAAGCAAAGTGGTGGAGCACCAAGATGCTATAACAGAAGCTCTAAGGCAATACACAGAGAGCCACTACCCTCAAATGCCCAATAAATATGGCCAGCTACTGATGAGGCTAACAGAACTGGCTAAGATCAGTATGCTAACCAAAGAGGCCCTCAATTCCATTGTACCACCCAGTCTACAATCCTGTGGTCTCCTGTTTGAGCTGTTGAAAGGCGATACTGGCAAGGAGGAGTCATAGAAACAGGGGTTAGATGCAACAGTTTAGGAAGAGGATGCTTGCGTTTAGTGACCAAATCTTCCTTTTAAAAAGGAGGTAAAAACCAGGTTGTGTTCTAAATATAAATATAAAGACTCAACCTTTAATAATATTCAAAGTTTGGAGTGAAAAGAGTATTCTGTTAACCATGTAACAGTATCAGTTTGTTCTCCAATTTAAGTACTTTATCAGAGAGTAAACCAGCATTACATACAGACATTGAAGAGAATGTTTACAGACTTACACCACTGACTAAATGAAGAGGTTCTTCAATCATGCACAAGATATATACAGCTACAAGATACATATATTTTTACCCCATGTGTACTTTTATTGGTGCATTCATCATTGATCATGGATTGTGTATTTTATACTTCATCTTTAGATAGTTTTCATTTTACAGGATTTTAGAGTTAGGATGTTGTGTGAATATGAAAATGGTTGTGTCTGATATTCAAGGCATTGAAGAAGGATGAAAGATAATTTTCATCCACTGTGTTTATAGATTGTTCATTATTCAAATGCACTGCAATGAATTGTTCAAATATTGAATTACTGATAAGGTAGTAAAGATGAGGATGATTTGTTATTTTACCTTCTGGAAGCCTTCCTGTCCATAACCTTACCATAAATTTTGAATGTTAAAAGAAAGAAAATCATGCATGCTCCACAAAAAAAGCTGATTGTGAAGTGCCATTTTCAGTCAAGTCATGATCACATAAATAAATTAATGGTCGTATAATGGTCATAGTTGGCTTGCATTTAATTGATAGTTATTGTATAAGGACACAGTACATAGCAAAAACATGCAACTATGTGCATTCCTGTTGGTATGTGAGTAATGTACATGATAAAAATTCAGCTTGTGTAATTGTATTAATATTGAAAAAAGTTCATGTATATCAAATATCACCAGAAATTATGTATAATTTCAAACAACTTTAATTGTTAAAAAACAGAATATTCAAGGTTGAATAGAACAAAGAAACCTAAAAGGCAATTAATTTTACAGTACTGGTATGTTGTTTAGTGCTATTCATTATACATGTAATGATGAATTTAACAAATTAGTAGAATAAATATCAATACATGTACACCAATAATTGTAATGCTGATAAAAAGAAAACCTATATTACTATATAACTACTTAGTTATCAGATGAGTGCCAAATGCCTGGGTACTCGCAGTTTTCAATAAGACCAGATTTATAGGTGTAAAAGACGGACGTAATATGTTTTACTAAGAAAAAAATGTAGCATGAGGAAGGAAGAAAGAGTGAACACCTATGGGTCAGAACTCTTTGACCTTATTTGCAAAATTTGAAGAATGAGGACACTTTACATAGGAAGGTACATAGTAACATATGAATGTTGTACATGTATTTATTACTTGGAAAATCTTAATTTGGATGAGTTATAACAAGTTTGGAAATACATGTACATGTAACATATAAGCTAAACAATATTATAAGATATACAATATTAGAAAATTGAACTGATGCCCAGTATGAAAATGTTAACACTTTTTCATAACATACATGGAAGTGACCTAAGCAGTAATTCATGATGAGAATTCAACTTCACAGAGGAAAATAATGTAACGTTGCCATTATTTAGGCTTCCTATGAATGTTAAAATCATGTGATTTATTCCAGGTTTCTGAATGCATTCAGAGTTTTTGTTTTAAATCTTGATTTTTATAGGTATCAGGTAGATGCTCTTTTTTAAGAATTTGAATATGTTATATAAATGTTCTTATACGATTAAGTTTGCTTTGTGCTATTTTGAGTACATTTTATATTAAAGAATTTCTTATAATGAAATAGTTGCACATTAACTGAAATACAGTTGCGGAAGTTATGTTAGATTTTTATTTTGTATTTTCAAAAAGAATTCCATGAAATAATGTCTCAGATTTTAAGACTTCAATAACCTGAGTGATGCCTAAATATTAGAGTTGATAAGTTATCATTGAATTGATTGTATATAGATTTTATACACTTTATTTCAACCCTGATTAACATCGATTAAAATTTCATATACAGATTTTACTTGTCTTTACTCACCCTGGGAGTGGGGAAAAGGAAGGGTTGAAGTTTTTTTTTTCGGAGTAATTCGGAAAAACAGGATACTTGCCAGACCTCTCTGTTACCCATTAAGACTAGAGTAAACAAAATACTAAGAATCTGAATTTAACAAGAGGTCCAAGGGCCTTAATGGTAACCTAAGTATAAGGAGCCATAGGTTGAATGTATTAAAAAAGCATAATAGGCTGATAAATGAAGCCATGATGCCCAAAGCAAGAGAAGTAGGATGATTAGGGATCAGCAAAATAATAAATTTGGTACTCGAAAACATCTTGAAGTTGATCTATTTAGTTGCCTGTACTTGCCCCCATTAGTCACTATCCCCATGGGGACGGAAGTGTTGAAGCAATTTTGGTAAACCCATCTCATTCTCTCTCACATTGGCCTTTCTTGATCTTTAAAGAACATTTAATGTTAAAGAACATTTAATGTACAAAGATAAGGGTGTATTGTCTCATTTTTATTTATCTAATATTTACAAGTCTACCTCACCATTAAAAACTATGAAAGTACTTTTTGTATTAAATATAAATCTTTCATTTAATTGACCTTTCAGTTACATTATTTACAGTGATTGATTATCATAGGTGACTAGCATAGGGGAATAACTTCTTTCAGCAGAATACAACTTAATAAAATGTCCAAGTTGTGCAGAATTTCAAAAGTCTGGTAAATATACCCTAGCTTATTACAACTTTATATATTCTGTTTGCCTCCTAGATGCCCAGGAGCAGAAAAAAATCAAAAAAATAATAAATTTCACTATAGATTCAAAATAGTCCCACCCAATCACCAGAGCTACTGGGCCAGGGGCCAAGAAATTCACAAATTTGGAAGAGATACCCTTGCTTATAACCACGCACTTGTCGCCCGCGTGGCACAGTGGTTAGAGCGTCTGCTCTAGAGTCGCGGAGTAAGGAGTTGATCCTTACGTCGCAGGTTCGGATCCCACTGTGGGACATGGAGACCGGTCCTTCGGATGAGACCGTATAAACCGAGGTCCTGTGTCGCAGTAGGTGCTGGCACGAAAAAGATCCCTCACTGCTCAATGGCCCTCATTGCCGAGTATAGGTCAAAATTTGCAGCTATTCACCGGCAGGTGGTGGCGTTTCCATATGAGTGAAAAAAATCTCGAGAGGGACGTTAAACAACACACAAGCAAAGTAACCACGCAGTTGTTTAATACCCAGGGGCAGAGAAGATTTTCAAAAAATCAATGCATTTTCATTATATAATCAATAGAGCCCCGCCCTAACACCAAAACCCCTGACTCAAGAGTTATGATTTTCAATTTTTTTGAAAGGGCGTCCTTGCTCATCATAACCATGCAGTTAGTTTTTTCTGCCAAATACCCGGGTGCAGAGGAGAAGATTTTCAAAGAAATAATGCACGCTCATCATAACCAGGCAGTTAGTTTTTTCTGCCAAATATCCGGGTGCACAGGTGAAGATTTTCAAAGAAATAATGCACTTTAACTAAATATTAAATTGCCACTGAACCCCTGACCCTGGGTCCATAAATTTCAGACTTTTGGAAGAGGCATCCTTGCTCATCATAACCATGCACTTTGTTTTTCTACTAAATACTCAGTAGCAGCGAAGATTTTTAAAGAAATAATGCACGTTCACTATATAATCAATAGAGTCCCCTCCCACAGAATCCTTGCCCCTGGGGCCACAAATTTCATAAGTTTGGAAGAGGCACTCATGATTATCATGATCGTGCACTTAGTTTATCTGCTGAATACCCAGAAGCAGAGAAGATTTTCGAAGAAATAATGCTTTTTTCACTATACAATCAATAAAGCACTCTCCCACTGAACCCCTAACTCTGGGGATACAAAATTTTACGTTTGGAAGAGGAGCTGTTGATCATCATAACTATGCACTTGGTTTGTTTTTATAACAAAGCATCGCCTTACACCAAAACACCTGACCTACGGGTCATGAAATTCAGTTTTGGAAGTGGCATCCTTGCTCATCATAACTATGCATTTGGTTTGATTGCCTAATATACCCAGGGGCAGAGAGCAAGATTTTCAAAGAAATAATGCACTTCCTATACAACCAATAAAGCCTCCCCTCCCCCTGACTTAGGAACCACAAATTTCACAATTTTGAATGAGACAGTCTTGGTCATCATAACCAAATGATTAGTTTGTCTGCTAAAAACCCTGGCACAAAGAAGATTTTCAATGAAATAATGCATTTTTACCGTTATACGAGGGTTGTCCCAAAATTCCGTAGACAGAGCTCATATCTTTAACAAAATTAAACGTATCTCTCTAAAATTTTCTGGGTGGATGAAGTGTGTTATTGGTTGGTAAATTACTAAGTTTTAACATGACTGCTTAAAACCAATTCGAGTAATTACAATTTCGGTATTACCGTTCCTTAACACCCGGAGCAATCTCCGACGTCAAAAAAGATGCACTTAACGTCACCAATTTTGATTGAAGTGCTTCCACTAATAAAAGGAATCATTTTTTTAAAATTTATCATAAACATTATAGAAATATCTTAATTGCTGTGATACGACTTGACATTAGAAAATACAAACAAAGTATGCACATGCATATGTATCCAGTAATAACGATTTTAAAAACCTCATGTCTCTAAGGGTTTTGATTTCTGTGTCTTCTCAAATGGAGTTGCAAAACGTCACTTTGACCACGATTCCGTGCCCTTTTCTTTGGGCGGTCTCTTATTTAGTTTCGCTTTTTCACAAACTTGGACAATTTTGATACACTAAGGACCGAAAGACATTTCCATGCGTACCAAACATTTATGCTTTCTGCGTTTCTGTAGGTGTGAATTAAAGTTCAGAACATTTAATCACAGTTCAGTGCGCCGCCTGTGTCGACACAGGCGCCATTTTTCAGCTGGTCAGATTTCAAATTGGTGCATATAAAACGTTATAAAATTCATATTAATCAAGGAATATACAATAAAATTGGAGGAAAGGTAGTTTACATTGCAATTTGAATAATATTAATTTCTATTTTCGAAATTCTGAGTATTAAATACTTTTTTTTAAAATTTTAAATATCACATACCGATTTTTAATTGCAATTTTTGGGTACTGCGCCGCCTTTTTACATAAGACACTGGAAAATTGTATTTAAATAGGGTTCAAATGTGCAATTTCTCAATTTTTGCCCATAAATGTATTAGATATTATCAGTTTTATATATGTACAAACTTTCATTGATTTATGACACCGGGTTCCCACAAAACTACGCTTGTCTACGAAATTTTGGGACAACCCTCGCAGATTCCACAGACCCCCCTCCCCCAATCCCTTGACCTTGGGGGCCACAAATTTCACAAATTTGGAATAGGCAGGGTGATAAAATTAGCCAGGGTAATAAAATTAACAATTTTGAAAGATGAACCCTCGCTCATCATAACTATGCACTTGGTTTGATTGCTTAATACCCAGGGGCGGAGAAGATTTTCAAAGAAATAATGCACTTTCACTATATAATCAATAGAGCCCCTTCCCCTCCCCCGGAACCCCAGACCCTGGGGTCACAAATTTCAAAGAAATTTCAAATTTTAAAGAATTTATGCATTTTTCACTATATGATCATTAGAGCCCTACCCTTAATCTAGAAATCCTACCCTGGGGCTATGAATTTCATATAATTTTGGTAGAGAGCTCAATACTTAGTACACTTATGCCAACAGTTTGACTGCTTGATGTCTAGGTTTTAAAGATAGCACTAACTTTGATAGTTTTAGCCCCACCCCTAAGGCCCCAGGGCAGGGACCATGAAATTCATAATTTTTGTACCCCTTCGTCCATTGATGTTATTTGCCGAAATTTGTTGAAATTGGTTCAGTGGTTCAAGAGAAGAAGCTGAAAATGTTCAAAAGCTTACGACCGACACACAACGCACGTCGACGGACGGAAACATATAGCAGTGACTAGGTGACCTAAAAATCTGAAGCAGCGAGTAGCAAGAATCGACATGTAAGGAACTAAAAAAAATATTTTTGAAGAAGGGTTCTTCAAGGAAAAGCATCCCTCCCTACGAGATTTAATTTCATGAAATATGCCGTTCACATTATCAATATATACCACTGTTTTTAATTATACAATTGTCCATCTAGCAGTCATGAATACTGTTTGCCACTGAATTCTCGACAGCAAATTAAAAAAAAATAGTGTCCAAACTATTCGAAATTATTTTTCACTGCTCTCCCTACCTAGCAATTAAAGACTTTTTCTGGCTAATTACCACCTCCGAATTAGTAACAGACTGAAAAGACAAGAAATTCTGATACCTTTGAACCTTGAATGAATTTAATTTCTTACTATAGATATCCAGCATCGAAGCAAGCATGAAACTTTAGATTCCCAGCATCCTCAGTAAGTATGAGACTGAAAAGGCACTCGGGATATCGACAACGTAGTTATCATCTATCATTGTCTTTGACCTTGACTACCCTAACAAAAATTTAGTATAGTTAACTATAGTGAAAACTTTGATACTTTGATTTACTATGAAACTTTACTCTGGAACTTTTTTTTGAGATTTCAAAGCTTAAAATCTCTTAAATTCGATAAAAGTAATGTAAAATTTGGAAATAATATGTGAATATACAAATAAAATTTCACTTAAATATGAAAAATGTGCATGTATGAATTGAAGAACAAAAAATATAACGATCTGAAATCCATATCAAAATTACTTTGATTTACTGTAGTGAAAAAACTTTGACATTATAGTAAACTATAGTTAACTATAGTAAACTATAGTTAACTACAGTAAACTATAGTGCTTTTTTATTAGAGTATAATCTCAGGAATCAAAACGTTTCTTCCTCTGGTATTCTTGGTAAGAATATACATGTACAAGGGCACCTTTCTCTTAACCCCTCTTCCCTCTATCCTCTTTTCTCCGCCCTTATGCTTCTACCTTCCATTAACCCCTTCCCCAATCTCTTAATTAAGT